GAGAAGAACCAGAGTTGGATTTCTGTGCCCATGGGGTGGGCTCTGGGTGCCCCTGGGACTAAGGGCTCGTGACCGGTTCACACCGGGGGCCCGCAGTCCGCTTGGGCGGGCATCGGCCCATCCACGTCCGGCTCCGGCAAGCGACTGCAATCCCTTCCAACGCCAGCAGCGAGCAGCAGCGGGCCGGGCGGCTCACACACACAGGCGCGCGCGGTGGAGTGTGGGGAGCGCGCCGGAGCCTGGCATGCCCCAGTGTGGACGTGAGTCACTCCGCGGAGCCCCTCGTAGCAGCCGCCGCCAGCCAGGCTCCCCCCACATGCCGGCTCCCGGCCGCTCCGGGGCTCGGCTGCCCGCCCCGCCTGCCCGGCTCCCCGCCGCCTGCGGCTGATGCTCGCTGCCCCCCAGCTGCCCCGAGCCCGCCCGTGTGGACCGTACAAAGCCCGCGCCGCTGTCCGGGGACTGTCTTGCCCGGGAGGAGCCCGCGGCTACCAGGAAGGGACCATGTACGTAGACCCGGAGGCTGCCGGCAAAGGTAGGAGCCAGCCCGGCCCCCCCTGCGCGTCTGGGTCTGCCGCGGCCATCAGGCTTCTCCGGGGCCCGCCCGCGCTCTGCTTGCGCCCCTGGGCGCTGTACAGCGCCGAGCACCGGGGCAGCGGCGCGACCCCCTGTTCGACCCCTGCTGCTCCTGCCGCCCGAAGGGGGGCGGCGGCTGCGTTCCCCTCTCTCCAGGCTGGGCTTGGCCGGGGGATGCCCCCCATTTTCCCTCGGGGTAGCCCTTTGGCTTTGGCAGGCAGCTGCTTCCCCCCCTCGGCCGCGCTTGACGCGCACCTGCTGCGCTCGCCCAGGTGCTGCCGGCTGGACGCTGCTGGTACTGCCCTTCCGGGACTGGGTGCGTGGGGACGGCGAGGCTGGGGGAGCCTGCCGGCTTGGGAGCGCAGGGCTCGGCTGCTTAGTGGAACTTCTCTGTGCCCCGAAATGGGGAGCGGGAGCAGGGCACGGCCACAGAATGCGGCTCCAGCCGCCCCTCTCTCATGCCTTCTCTTCTTCGCTTGCTTCATTTCATCTCCTCTCTGCCCCATCTCTCCTTCCGCCTCTGCTCCCATTCCTCCTCCTCCCTGTCCCCCCCTCTGCCCCATCTCTCCTTCTGCCTCTGCCCCCTATTCCTCCTTCCCGTTGCCTCTCTGCCCCATGCCGCCTCTTTCCTGTCCCCCCTCTGCCCCATCTTTCCTTTCTCCTCTGCTCCCATTCCTCCTCCTCCTCCTTCCTCTTTCCTCTCTGTCCCATCTCTCTTTCCTCCTCTGCCCCTATTCCTCCTTCCCGTTCCCTCTCTGCCCTTATTCCACCTCTTTCCCGTACCCCCTATGCCCTATCTCTCCTTCCTCCTCATTCCCCCTCTGCCCCATCTCTCCTTCTGCCTCTGCTCCCATTCCCCCCTCCTTCCCATTCCCCCTCTGCCCCATCTCTCCTTCCTCTCTGCTCCATTCCTCCTTCCCATTCCCCCTCTGCCCCATCTCTCCTTCCTCCTCCTTCCTGTTCCCTCTCTGCCCTTATTCCGCCTCTTTCCCGTTCCCCATCTCTCCTTCCTCCTCTGCCCCCATTCTTCCTCCTCCCCTCTCTGCCCCATGATATCTCTCCTTCGTCCTACTCCTTCCTGTTCCCCCTCTGCCCCCATCTCTCCTTCCCCCTCTGCCCCATCTCTCCTTCCCCTCTTTGCCCCATTGCTTTCCCATTCCCTTTGCTTCTCTGCCCCATCTCTCCTTCCCTCCTCCGTCCCATCTCCATCCCCTTTTCGCTCCCATCTTCCCTGCCCCATTCCTCCTTTCCATTTCTTTCCTCTCTTTGACGTTCTGCTCCCATTACCTCCTTCCTGTTCTCTGCTCACAATTTACTCTATCAGATCTCTGCTCCTGTTCCTCTCTTTCCCCATATCCCTTTTCTTTTCCTCTCCTTATTCCGCTTTTCCCTCTCTTCCACCCACGGAGCTGCCTACTTCTCCTTTCTCCATTCCTTTCCTCTCCTTCCCCGGGTTGTGGGCTTTCTGGAGTTTCCCAGGCAGGAGTTACAGTAGTTTGGGGGGGGAAAGTCACCGCCACTCATTTCAAATGAGTCACCACCCTGCAGAGCTGCCTGAGCAGTGGCACCTGCTATTCCTGGAAGAAATAAACACAACACAAGCAAAACATTCCCGAGTCACTAAGCCAGTTTGAGAGCAGTCAGCCCAGAGTGAGGGGGGAGGAGAGCCTCTCCATCTGGCTGGCTCTGGGGGTCCTGCTCAGGCACAGCTTCCTGGCCTCACCTGCTCCATACCAGCCTCAGTCTTGCCCTCTGAGGACAGGGATTTTGGGAGGCACGTTGGCTGGTGCTCTTTGCTGATCTCATGCTCACAGGGAACAGTTGGCCCACTACCCAGGAATCTGGGACATGCTGGTGTTGCGGGCTAGGACTTATGGCTCTCGGCGGAAGGGTCTGTTGCCAATGCAAAAGAAGAGGGAAGGGGCATTGTCGAACGCAGTGTGGCTGGCTGGGGCCTGGTGTTACCTGCAGGGTTTGGTTGCTAGTAATGATGGGCTCCCAGGGGCATGAGGACAGGCTGTTTTCTTGAGATTTGGGGAGATCCAAGAGATGGGTGGAGTTGCGGGGTGGATTTGTCTTCAGGGGATTCTTCGGAATGTAGTCAAATTTTCCAAGTAATCACGATTCTATTTGAAGGAGATGCTCAGGCCTCAGCTAATTGGGCCTGTAGGAGCTGGCAGACCCAGAACATGGGTCCATCTAGCCCAGTATTCTGTATGTCAGTAGTTCTCAACCAGCGGTCGGGGCCCCCTGGGCGACCGTGAGCAGGTTTCAGGGTGTCCATCAAGCAGGGCTGGCATTAGATTGTCTAGGATCCAGGGCAGAAAGATGAAGCCCCACCATGCAGGACTGCAGCCTGGGGCCCTGAGCTCCAGCACCCACGGATAAAGCCGAAGCCTGAGCAACTTAGCTCCGTGGGGCCCCAGGCAATTGCCCTGCTTCCTACTCCTTAATGCCAGCCCTGGCTTTTGTATGGAGAAAACAGTTGTTGTGGTACAGGTGGGCTGTGGAGTTTTTATAGCATGTTGGAGGGTGGGGGGGCTCAGAAAGAAAGTGATTGAGAACCCCTGCTGTACGTGACCACGACTAGTACCAGATGATACCTGGAGTGAGCAATTATGGAATAACCTGATCTCCAAAGTGTCATCCCAGCTGCCTTAGATACTTACTTGACCCCCACCTCCATACTATCTGAGCACCTCAGAGTCTTTAATGTATTTGTGCTCCCACCACTCCCGGAGATAGATGTGGCGCTGAGGCACGGAGAGCAAGTGACTTGCCCAGGGTCACACAAGAAGTCTGTGTCAGAGCAGGCAGTTGAACCCAGGTCTCCAGAAGCCTGGCTAGTGCCCTAACCTCTGGACTATCCTTCCTAAAACCCTCAGTTAGTCTGACTTTGTCCTGAGCAGGAGAGTTTATATCCCTTCCAAACTTCTGATATTGTTTTTATAACCCTACCTAATGTTCTCATTAGCTGTGCAAACATGCAATCCTTTTGTGAATCATGCTAATCACTGACCATAATGATACAGTGTGGCAAGGAGTTCCACTGGTTAATCATGAGTTGTGTGAAACAACATTTCTGTTTACCATTTTAAAATTTGCTGCCCTTCCGTTTCATTGGCCCCCAGTTCTCATCCTGTGCAAGGGTAAATGGGAGTACCTGATCTACCTCCTCTGTGCCAGTCGGTATTTTCTATACCTTGATCATTCCCCTTCTTATTCAGTTCCTCTCCAAACTAAACAGTCCGTCTTTGCAATCACTCTTCATATGGAAGTTTCCTATGTGTCTAATCAGTCCTGCCTCTGAATCCCTATGTTTCTGCTCGATCCCTTTGGAGACAGGGTCCCTAGCATGGCACACAGGATTCCATATGAGGATTCCATTGTTTTACATGCTGGCATTATAATAGTCTCTGTGTAACTCTCCATCACCTTCCTTGTGGCCCATAGTGTGCTGTTTGCTTTTTCCACTCCTGCATACTGAGCAGAGGTCTCCATTGCACTATGCACAATGGGGCCCATGTTTTTCTCCTGAGCTGATAATTAAAGTCGAGCCCAGCAATGTGTGTGAGTAGTTCTTGCTGTGGGCCACTTCATTACTGCAGCCCCTTGTTCTGTCCTGGCCCCTTACCAGGAGATTGAGCCCCCGAATCTATCACTCCACCTGTCTCTGCCCCACTGAGCAATCCCACTGCTTGCCCCCAGACTAGGCAGCTTCAGCCTGAACAGCTCTAGGTTTGGCATCTACCTTTCTGTGTGGGCAGCTCTCTCCCAGCCCCTGCGGTGAGCTGCCCTCACCACATTAACGCTCCCTGGGCTCCTCCCTGCCCTGTGGCATTTGGGTGTCCATGCACTAGAGCCCCCTAGTCCCAGCGCACCCCTGCTTTGAGCCCCTCCTCCCAACATTCCGAATGGGCAAAGCCCCCTGTGCCTGCCTCAACCCCACCCTGAGACCCGCTGTCACCATGATCCTATCCCACTGCCTTCCACTGCACTAATGATCCTGCCCTGACCCCGGTTTCCCCCATGATTTATGGATGACTGTCCCATGCCCCACTGCTGGCCTAATGACTCTGCCTGAGCCCCAGGTCATCCCAATGTGCTCACCCGTACCTGCCTCTCCTTGTCATAGAGACAGCCCCACCTTGGTCCTTCTCCCCTCCGATCCTTGGGCTCTCGCGCGGAAGGGTAGATTTCTGGGATGTAAAGATGCCACATGGAATGGAATTGAATGTCTGCCTTAAAACGGGGGGAGGGAGAGGGAGCCAGGTAGGGGCAATGATAAGGCAGTACAGATTTCCCCTCTCAGGCCCTGGACAAATATGGGTTATTTTGAGTGGGCTTGATCCTGCTAGGAGCAACTCCTGGGGGTGCCAAGCACGCTCAGCTTCCACTGAGATTCCACTGAAGTCTGTGGGAGTTGAGGGCACACAGCCCCTTGCAGGATCCAGCTCTGTATGATGTCTCTCTCCATTGTGTGGCCTGGAAGCAGGCCAGCCAGATACAGAAGCTATGACGACAGGTGTGGCTTCCTCAGACGCAAGTTCAGCCAGAGCGCCAAGAAACCTAGCTCTGCACGGGTTGGCAAGATGGGCCTTGCTGTGTGGGGAGACCAGCATGAGCGGCAATGGGTTGATGGGGGACCTGGTTTAGTTCCTGTGCTGAAATCTCTAGTCTGAAAGCAATCACAAGGAGCAGCCTTTGGAGGAGTGTGTCCTGAGACAGGGACAATAGCTACAACAGCAAAAACAGGAGCAGCAGCAGAGAAATAAATACCAATGCCTGCACAGAACCGTGGCCTCAGATCTTGTTAGAATTCACGCATTACGCAAGGTGAGACTACTGGATTGGTATGTGGATGGGCACCTCCCTGGACACTGGGTGTGAGTACTTGTACGGGAGATGTCCAGGAAACATAGAGGTGCTGCAGGAAATACTGTTGGTGACTCAGTAGAT